CAGTTATCCCCCCTACTTACCTATAACAGTTAACCCCCCTACTTACCTATAACAGTTATCCCCCCTACTTACCTATAACAGTTATCCCCTCTACTTACCTACACCAGTTATTACCTATAACAGTTACCCCTTATTTACCTATAACAGTTACCCCCTTACTTACCTAAACCAGTTATCCCCCCTACTTACCTATAACAGTTATCCCCCCTACTTACCTATAACAGTTATCCCCCACTACTTATCTATACCAGTTATCCCCACTACTTACCTATAACAGTTACCTCCCTTACTTACCTATAACAGTTATCATCCACACCATTATATAGGAGAAGATGGTTAACCAGGTGAGGCACATGACGAAAGTGACAACAAACCAGCGTTGCCATCGCGGTTGACGACAGTCCGGTATAGATATAAACAGCACCACTTTCAGAGGTATAGCTATAATAAACAAAGCTTTCTTCCAACACGCATCTGGCCAAGCAAACACGGACTCAGGTTCCTTATCGTAACTCGCTGAAATAGACGATATAAAAAGTGTCAGGTTGTTTATAACAAACCAAGCTGGTACAGTAAATCCTGTCAGATCTCAGCACCACCTACACCTTTTTTTGGGAATTTGAGATTTATTGACTTTTTCTGTCATGGAGAAAAGGGTATGTTACTCTTTATAGGAGGGAAAATATCACACTTTCCATCAATTTTGTCATTTTGAAAAGTACAGAGATCTGTTTTTTTCTGTTTTAACAATCTGAAACAACTATGAAAGAAATTCTTTAAATTTCATAAAAGAAATTTCCTACCTACTTCAGAGTTGGAGGTAAATTTAATGGCATGCCAAATATTTCAAAATGTTCATACTTTTTGTAAACATAGGAACCACATCAATTACCACAAAAACCATAGAGATTGTTAAAGAAAACTTTATAGTAAGAAATGTGTAGGGCCAATATTTTTCATTAGATGATACATTTTTTAGATTTCAATTCATGCACATTGAAAATCAATTTGAGTACATTATTGAAGATAAGGTAGGTAAGAAATTTTAACAAAGAAAACTATTGCAGGGTATATATATATATATATATTGAAACCAATTCCAAAAGAAAAGTCATTTATAGTTCATATCTTAGTTCAGATTGGAACAAAGTAAACTTACACATGAGATAAAAACTAACATTGACTAAGAAATACATTAAATTCATCAAGATATTTGATTAAATACATGTATTTTGTTATGAGAGAAAAAGAAGTTGTCAACTTGGAAGAAAACAGCAATAGTCAGTGCAATACAGGATTACCTCCCCTGAAACATATGTCAGGTCTCTTTATGACCTTTCAAAACACATCTGGCAAGAGAGGTTTATGTTACTGGTATTTTATTATTTAAAAGGCAATTTCAACTTCATGTTTTTCTTCAGTACCGTCAAACAGAATTTTCGCTTTGAACTTGTGGTACATGTAAATGAGATATTTGACCTTGCACTTTTTGTTAAAAATTGTTAAAGTAGGAAGAGGTTACAGAATGACAGAATGTGGTCACTCAGGTATTTTACCCCAGGCCAGGTGGGCTAGAGTTTCGGTAGTTATGTGTTAGTTATATATACTGTATAGAGGTTTATATCTACTGTATACAGGGTTAACGTTATATATACTGCATATAGGGTAACATTTACTGTAAAGAGGTTTATTATCTACTGTATACAGGGTTATATATACTGTATAGAGGTTTATTTCTACAGTATACATGGTTATATATACTGTATAGGGGTTTATATATACTGTATACAGGGTTATATTTACTGTATACAGGATTATATACAGTATACATGGTTATATATACTGTATACATGGTTATATATACTGTATATGGGATCTTTCTAAAATCATACAGGGTTATATTTACTGTATACAGGATTATATACAGTATACATGGTTATATATACTGTATAGGGGTTTATATTTACTGTATACAGGGTTATATACAGTATACATGGTTATATATACTGTATACATGGTTATATATACTGTATAGGGGTTTATATATACTGTATACAGGGTTATATATACTGTATACAGAGTTATATATACTGTATACAGGGTTATCATTACTGTAAACATGCAGGGTTATATATACTGTATACAGGGTTATATCTACAGTATACATGGTTATATATACTGTATAAAGGTTTATATCTACTATATACATGGCTATATATACTGTATAGAGGATTATATATACTGTATAGAAGTTTATATCTACTGTATACATGGCAATATAAACTGTATAGAGGTTTATATATATTGTATAGAGGTTTATATATATTGTATAGAGGTTTATATATACTTTATAAAGGTTTATATCTACTGTATACATGGCTATATATACTGTATACAGGGTTATATATACTGTATAGGGGTTTATATATATTGTATACAGGGTCATATATACTGTAAAGAGGTTTATATATATATTGTATACAGGGTTACATATACTGTATAGGGGTTTATATATACTGTATTCAGGGTTATATATACTGTATAGGGGTTTATATATACTGCATACAGGGTTATATATACTGTATACAGGTTTATATATATTGTATAAAGGTTTATTTATACTGTGTACACAGGGCTCGATACTGTATACAGTTTTATATTTAATGTATACAGATATATACTGTGCACAGGGTTATATATACTGTATACATGGTTATATTTACTGTATAGAGGTTTATAATATACTATACACATGGTTATATATACTGTATAGAGGTTTATATCTACAGTATACAAGATTAAATATATACTGTATAAAAGTTTATATCTACTGTATACAGGGTTATATTAACTGTATAGTGGTTTATATCAAATATATACAGGGTTAAATATACTATTTACTTGGTGGTAGATTTTGTTACCTGTCCAATATATTCGTCTACACAATTTCGAGGCTTAGTTCCTCCTAAATGTGATACATATAGAATAGCGTTTGTCAACCCAAACATTGTCAACACATCCAAACATTGTCAACACACCCAAACAATAGACCAAATTTATCCCAACATTCAAGGAAATATTGATATCTTCAATCTTAAACAAACCTATAAGAAAATTAATTATCTACATAGAACTTTGTTTCCAGCAAAAGAATGTGGTTGTACAAAATTAAAAAAATACCATAAGCCATTACATGGTGCAATACCTATAGTGTACTAGAAGGTAACTCCTAGTCATTATAACACTTGTCATGGTGCTGAATAGGGAAACTCTCATTTCCAGCGGAGAGGTTTTGTTTACATATGTATTCTGTCACCTAAAGGAGTTATATCCACAGTCGTAATATTTCCCTCTTTGTATCATGCATTTAATCCATACTGGTCTCCCAGTGATAAATTCACCCAGAGTCACGTAAACACGACCTGGAGATGGTGATTCCGAGTCACACTCTAAATGAAAGGCCATTTATGTAAAAAGAGTTGATTTTTTATTTTACTTATTTTTTACGTGAAAGTAAAGATAGGAACATAGTCATGAAATTCTTAAATGAGAACCACACTCAATTAATACCTTAAAAAAACCAAAAGTTATAGACTATTCCATTATATTATTTTTACCATTTATGATGGTGGCATACCTGCCATCATTTCAAGTTTTAACATGGAAAAAAAAAAAATCTTTCTAAAATCTAAAAATATCTAAAAATAATCTAAATTACCCCAATTGATAAAATAATAGTGAAAAATATCAGAGTTTAAGTTGTTCTATTGAATTTAATCAAAAAGCATCATTCAGAAACCCTTCAGATTTCATATGTCAAAAGTGAATGTGAAGTATTGGGAATCTCTTTCTTAAATACTAATTAGATTAGGCAAGTTTGTATAAATACTAATTAGATTGGGCTAGTTTGTATAAATACTAATTAGATTAGGCAAGTTTGTATAAATACTAATTAGATTGGGCAAGTTTGTATAAATACTAATTAAATTGGGCTATTTTGTATAAATACTAATTAGATTGGGCTAGTTTGTATAAATACTAATTAGATTGGGCAAGTTTGTATAAATACTAAATAGATTGGGCTAGTTTGTATAAGTACTTATTAGATTGGGCAAGTTTATATAAATACTACTGAGATTTGGCAAGTTTGTATAAATACTAATTAGATTGGGCAAGTTTGTATAAATATTAATTAGATTGGGCAAGTTTGCATAAATACTAATTAGATTGGGCTAGTTTAGATTGGGCTAGTTTGTATAAATACTAATTAGATTAGGCAAGTTTGTATAAATACTTATTAGATTGGGCAAGTTTGTATAAATACTAATTAGATTGGGCAAGTTTATATAAATACTAATTAGATTGGGCAAGTTTGTATAAGTACTAATTAGATTGGGCTAGTTTGTATAAATACTAATTAGATTGGGCAAGTTTGTATAAATACTAATTAGATTGGGTAAGTTTGTATAAATACAAATTAGATTTGGCAAGTTTGTATAAATACTAATTAGATCGGGCAAGTTTGTATAAATACTAATTAGATTGGGCAAGGTTGCATAAGTAGAGGACTTGTTGTGTCTCGTTAGCTTGTAACTTTTTAAAACCAAAAACCTTTCAACATTTCAAAACTCACATGATTATCATTTACTGGTAAGGAATCTATACAAAATTAATAAAGTATTAGAATCAATTTAAACCATACACATAATTCAGATCCTCTATAACAATGACTTTAACTAATGTATTCACTGTAATGTACATCTGTAAATATTGGTGTGCATGGAAAATCTCCCTACTCATATGTAAACTGTGTTGGTTTCTGTTAAGACTTTGTAAGAATAAACTAGAAGTTGAATATAAAGCAGTTTTGTTCAACATTATTTTACCCATGTCTAGTAGAAGTTACCTCCCTTTACCCACATGTTTTATCCACCTAAAAATAGCAGAAGTTACCTCCCTTTACCCACATGTTTTATCCACCTAAAAATAGTAGAAGTTACCTCCCTTTACCCACATGTTTTATCGACCTAAAAGTAGAAGAAGTTACCTCCCTTTACCCACATGTTTTATCCACCTAAAAATAGCAGAAGTTACCTCCCTTTACCCACATGTTTTATCCACCTAAAAATAGCAGAAGTTACCTCCCTTTACCCACATGTTTTATCCACCTAAAAGTAGAAGTTACCTCCCTTTACCCACATGTTTTATTCACCTAAAAGTAGGAGTAGTTACCTCCCTTTACCAAATGTTTTATCCACCTAAAAATAGTAGAAGCTACCAACCTTTACCCACATGTTTTATCCACCTAAAAGTAGTAGAAGTTACCTCCCTTTACCCACATGTTTTATCCACCTAAAGATAACAACTTCCATTACCAAAAACCTTTTTGAAGATATACAAGGCTGTGCATAAGAAGCCTTCAAATGAACACATGTATCAGAGACTGACATTACAACAAACAGGCTTTATCACTACCCAGTAAACACATGTATCAGAGACTGACATTACAACAAACA